TAAGGCTATGAAATAATAATTTGATGCTTGAGGATAATTTTTTTTTTAATTTATTTTTGGATGAATTTTTGAAAGAAAAAAATATATTAATGAAATTTTAATATTATGATTCATTTAAGACTCAGGTCTAATCTCTTAAGGTATAGGAATTTTAGAAAGAAATTTAAAAAAAATTAAATGAGGCACTAACTTTCAAACTCTTTAAATTAGAATTATTTATTAAATTAATATTTAGTATTATAAAATTAATATTATACATATATTATTAAATGGTTATGCAGATTTTGTTGTCTAAGAGAGTGGTGAAAGAGGTGTTGTACGGAATCACATATTTTTCAAGACATGAGATAATCATTATTAATATGTGGTGGTATATGTGTATGTGATTAATTATGCGTTTGTTTTGTTATTTGAAAAATCTTGATTTTTTGTTAAGAAATATTATATATGCATATTTTTATCTAAAAATAATTGCCAAGTAGGTTAAACTTATATTTATGAATATTTTGTGAATTGACACTACTAAAAACATGAGATAATTATTTGATTGATATAAAAATGTGCCAATGATTTCTATATGGTTGTTATAAATGCATGACTAGTTGAGGTGTATTAAAAATTGTTTTGTAGAGATTTATGTTCAATTGAGTTACCACATGGTGAGCCCTTATTAGACCCAATGAGTGGCATATAACTTAGTCTAACTCACCTTTGACCTGGTGACTTAATATCTAAGCATGACATAAGGAGGGATATAAGGTGTAATCATACTAATTATTCAGATTATTTGAAAATAATTGTTTTATTTGTCCACTTTGCAATCACTTGATTAATTGCCTCATGTGTATTATTACATACTAATATTCAGTTCGGAGACTTTTAAGTCTCATTCTACGTGGTTATAAATTTTTTAAGAGTGAGTTCGGTTAGAGAAATACCTAAGGCGTAATTCGGTGTATGAGATGCCATTTTCTAATTCAGCCTCTTTATTTTTATTAAGATGTATATTATGCCAACTTAGAATGAATATATATATATATATATATTGAGTATGTATATTTTATTTATGAATTATTGCATTTTACATTCTAAGAAAATTTGTCTGTCCTTCTTGACCTTGGGTATTTATGAAGTAAAATTTTGATCAAGTATGCTCATATGTGGTAGTTTTGTTTTATGATGACCAGTGTTTAAAAAAATATATTTAGGCCTAAATCGAGTATTTATAGTAAATTATGGTTTGTGAAGTGTTGCTCGGCTGACATTGGTTTTGCAATTTTAATAGGGGTGTACACTTGAAATATTTAATGACTATTTTTCTTAATTACTGTGGTAAAGTAAATTTATTATATTTAAATCTTTCTACATGATAGACCCTTTTTATCATGGTAAACTATATTTGTGAAATGTTTTTATTATAGGAATAATTCTTTTCTATCATGTTAAGAGTTCAAAATTTTTAAAATAGTTTATTAAACTATAATTTGTGAAAAATAAGTATGAAAAATTTAGAATGTTATATGTATTCTATTAACAAGTCCTCATTCAATAAAAAAAAATCTTATTTCTACTTTAATAACAATCAAATCTCTTATTAACAATTTAAAAAAAAAATAACTTGGTGGTGAAGAATAACAAGTGTTATGATTTGGTGAATAGTTTTCATTTAAAAAAAAACAAGTCCCATTTGCATTTTAATAACAATCAATTCTCCTATTGATAATTTCAAAAAATTAACTTGTAGAATAATATTAAAATTATTCCATTCTGCAAAGTAATTTATTATATTAAGTGGTCATTGATTGTGATTTTCTTAGAATAACACTAAGGGAAACAGTAAGAAAGAAGCAAAAGCTACATTATAAAACTGCATATACACACCTTTCAAAGTGAATGAGAGGCGATGTTGTGGTTGTCCTTCTTAGCTTAAGGTTTGAGAAAGCAAGTTCAGTTCTGTGATTGAGAAGAAATAGAGAGATTAGTTATGCAATTCATACCTTTCATTATTCCACATCTAAAAAGTTGTCACTATCAAGAAACAGATTCTACCCTGCAACATTATTGATTCTTCTCTCGTAAACAATATATAATGAAAAGACTTCCAAAATTTATGAGGAAATTGCTCTCTCCCTTTTTTTTTTGTAGATTTTATACCCGATTAATCACAATGAAAAAAACAAACTCTCTTCAAACAAGACACCAGCTATAAAAAAAAAAAAAACTTTGAAGTTTTTTTTTTTTTGCTTTTTCTGGTTTTTAAGATTTTTATAGGAATATGATTGACAATAAAACAACAAAGCTGATGCAGGAAAATGACTTTTTTCTTTTTTTGAAAAGTTGCTCGTGTGTGGAAAAAAACAAACAAGTTTAAACTTGAAAATTGGGAACAAGGAGTGAACAAATATGGCAGACACGAGAACTTGAATTCAAAACTTCTCAGTAAATGAATGTAATTGATTTGGAATGATTTCTTTTAAGAATGCTAACAAGTTTAAGAAATAGGAAGTAATGAATATTGAGATCTCCAACAACAAGATGCAAACAATGCCAAGTAATTAATGTAAAGAATTTTTTTTTCCTTTTTGAGATTTTTATGCAATATTGATAACAAAGAAAAGCGGCAGACTTTGTCTATGCAGAAGATGAGCAGCAGCAAGAAAAAATGTTCAAACAAGTTTTTTTTTTCTTTTTTTTTAGATTTTTATGAACATGTGATTGACAAAAAGCAAATATAGTGCAGAAAACTGTCAACTTTTTTTTTTTTGAAACGTAGAAACAAGGAAACAAGTTTGACCTGTTGGGAACAAGGAAAGTGAAGAGAGATGGAGTAGACACAAGTTCTTGGACGAATGAACAAGTGTTTGATTTGGAATGATTTCTTTCTGAAACTCGAAAGGAGGAAACAGAAGAAGAAATTTGAAGAACATAGATTGCTCAAGGTTGAAGAAGAAATGGGAAGCAATGAATATCAAATCTGAATATGTAAACAAAGGCATGTAAGATGTGTTAAAAAAAGATTACAATATAAAGAAAGACTCAAGCTTGCCTGCACATAAAGAAAAGACCTTGGAAATTAATTTGAGGACTCAACCTTACACCTTCGCGGCTGGAAAAGAAACCTTGTACCTTGCCTTTCGTCTGGTCCTACAAATTATTCTCTGTTTGGGGGACCTCAAGTACAAGGATGAAATTTGAAAAACTAAATAAATAAAAAACGACGTCAATAAATAATAAATAAACAATGAGCTCATTAGTTGATACTATAATATATGATTCAAATCACTTGATTAGTCAAGTTTTTAATTTCATGTAGCTCACATGAGAGTATGAGACGCAATTAATAACGTCATTATTCTTAACTTGTACAGAGTGTGGCTTACAAAATTTTATGTGTGTGTGTGTTTCCTTATGGTACTATAGATTAGTAACTTTTTATGAAAGAGTTAAATAGTAATTGACTTCTAATTTGTATATTCAGAAGCTCTGAGATTTTAAACTTATTTTTTTGAACAATATTCTCCTTTCGTGTAATTTTTTTTGTCATTTTCTAAATTTTTAAATCTGTTTCTATATTTTTATTGGTCTTGTATAAAATGACAGAATATTATTATTATTTTTTAATTCGAATCAACAAATACACATGCGGACGTTCCAAAACATTTATCCACAATTTGTAAATGGTATGTATGCCTCCTGAAACTTTGTATCTGTTGTAGAAACATAGGAAGAAAAAAAAATCTTAGTATTTTATATTTTATGTTGAAATTCGAAAGACAGAGTGTGCTAAAGTTTGAGGCTTTAGAAGCAATGAATATTAGATCTCCTGCAACATGAAAGTACAAATTATTCGGTGAGATAAAATCATAATAAAGACTTCAGATTGCTTACACATAAAGAAAAGCACCTTGGAAATTATTTTTGGAGACTCAAAACTATATTCGCAGCTGTCTGGTCCTCCAAATTTTTCTTGTGTAACTTTTTATTTAGAGAACGCTTAGAACGCTTTTGTGTAATTTAAACTAGACATAAACTTAAGGCCCAAAAAAAACTGAACATAAACTAAACTCTAACTCCCATGCACCAGCATGAAATTTTAAGAAAAACATTAAATAATAAATTAATAATAAAATTATAAAATAACAATGCTCCCCACTTACTTAGTTTGCGGCATTGATTAGTCAAGTAATTCTTTTTTTTTTTTTTTTGCATTCCTTGGAGTACAATTCCTAATCTATGAAGAATGTAACTTAAAGATACGCATATTCATATAAATAATTGGACTATGAGCATGTATTTTGTATGGAAATCAAAACAAGACACATTGTTCATTGCTTATGAAAACTGGAAAGTTTTACTTTTTGTAGATTTTATTAAATATGTATGAACCAATAAACCAATAATGACCTTATTTATTAGCAAGATGGAAATATAAAAAAAGATGACCTGAAAGATCCAAACAAGCATTTATCTCATTAAATCGGGTGGAACATATGAATTACAGGAAACCCCACCAAATTCTAGGAAAATCTATAACGGTAATCGTAACAGTGCTAGTAAATAAGAGTAGTAGTAGTAGCATTATCAACAATAATGCTAGCAGCAGCAAGCTTTACAAAGGTCGCCAACTATAAATCAGGGTCCAACCAGCCAATGAGTCAACAAGAACCGTTGTGCTAGCAAAAAGAATAAGAAAGAACCATTGTTCTACTTTGTATGGGGGTTTTCTAGCAATTTTTCAAAAACTATTTAACATTGATATTCATATTATCATCCCCTAACAATTTTTTTAATCCACAAATCACATTTTCGTTTCATTCTTTTTTTCCCAAAATATAGAAAGTATGTGAAAGAAGTAACATTAATAACAGGGAAAAGAACATTCAATAAAGAACATTTAACAATCAGTCATGAAAAATCCAAGGATGATAGGGAAAATCTTTTTTTTTTTTTTTAACCGCCAGGATGATAGGGAAAATCGAAAGTACCCCAAAAAAAAAAACTAATCATATGAACTCTCAACGTGATATTAATTAACAGGTGCTCGCAAACCCTGAAACATATAAGCACATGTCAAAGAGAGTAATAGACTAATCTGTGACAATCCTTTGACATCGTAATTCATAAATCAATCAACAAATTCCCAAAGGAAGCAGATATAAATATAAGCGACGTTCGCCCATTCTGCTAACATTAGCATTTTGCCGATCATCTTGCATGACCAATAAAGCCCAACAACTGTAATATTCCAGCCAGCACCTTTCTTGGCTTAATGCTACTACGTGACCAGTCTCAGAAAAGCTTAGCGTTGGAATGAGATAGAGTAGGAACCAGTGTTCGGATCTTTAACAGCTTTGAAGTTGTCAACACTCATCCCAAAGCGGCCCAGCAAAGAATTTCCCATATCTTTCAGTTTAGCTGCCCCAAAAGAAAATAGTGTTAACAAAGGTTACCGAAGCATACATTCAGAATCACGTAATGCTGAAATAAATGCCGGGTAGCTTAGATTAGTTTAATTATATACTGGTCATTAAATACAACAGATGAGAGGCCTGTTATCTAACTTTCTGGTAATCAATGTAGTGCTGTCAGTTTGTAAAAGGGGGGCAAATAGATAAGAGGCCATCATATTTATCTAAAGTAAATCCCAAAGTGGCCAACAGAACAAATTATTTAATTGTTTTAAGGATGTCCAACACCTATTAAACCAGACCAGCATAAAGTTGCTCCCTCGAGATTTGCAATCAACAAAGGTTAACAGAGTGTCCATTGCAAAGAACACAGACAAAAGAGACATCCTGAGCGTTCATTAAAGAGCATGACTCCTTGATGAAATTCAAGTGCTAGAGTTAGCTGAGTTACATGGTTGATCCATAAATTGCATAATGTTTAAAATTAGTCATCAGATTACTTCTCATAATTACCAGTTTACTCCCCAGTGCTTGAAAAGCTTCTCGACAAGAGGCAACCACAGATCCCATTGTTAAAACAATTATATCATCAAAGGTCTGATTTCTTTTTTTCTCTTTTTCCTTTTTCCATATCTTTTCATCTATATGTTGTAACATTTTCACAATACACATTGGAACTATAGATATCATGCCATGTCAGTTTGAAGGGAAGGAGAAAGAAAGAGGACAGAATGAAGCAAGTCCTATTGGAGAATAAATTACAAAGTTCAACAATACAATAAGAACAGATATAATAAAATAAAAAGCTTCCCATCCACGCAGATTATAAACATGAAAGGAAAAGTGGAAAGAAGAATTACCGATCATTTCTTCCTTCATCTTTTCCCGCTTTTCTGCTGCCAGGGGTTCCAATCTCAGAATGGTTTTCCTAGCTTGATCATTTGAGGGATCAATTTCTAAAATCTTTTTCATATCTGCCAATTTGAAGAGTAATTGTGAAAGGAAAAGAGTTAGATCAAGTCCAACAAACAATAAAAACTGTACATTCTCCCATTACTGTGTAAATTGCATACTAATACAATGTGAGCTAAGACATATATTAAGGACTATACCACACCAGTAGCCTTCTAGCCTAGTGGCCCATAAGCTCCCCTATAAGTGGGAAGTCACAGATTCAATTCCACTTATAACTTCAGGCTACCGCTCTTGTTCCAAATTTTAAAAAAAAAAAAAGGACTGTACCACAATATTCAGTATGATCAAACAAAAAATTTCAACTCACCAGCAATGGCCTCTTCAAATGCTCAAGCTTTTCATGCGCCTCCCCCCTTCTCACCAGAGCTTTCAGATATGCAGGATTGAGTTCCAATGCCTTAGTGCACTCTTTGATTGTGTCCTCATATTTCCCCTGAGGCAATTAATTAAAATCCTTAAATGAGAAATTAAAAGGAAAGTGGTATCAAACTTAAAATTAATTAATTACAAGAATGATACAAAGATATCACACTTAAAACGACCATGGTTGTTGAGGCTGCCCTTCTAACCAACACAAGTGATTTAGTCTCCACTTCCATTGTCTGAATATAAGTTATACAGACCACTTTAAAAAAATGGATTAGATTTCACTCCGGCTGATCCCATTAAGTAATACTCCCTCCAGTCCATAATACAAGACACTAATTCACACTTACGGAAAATGCTAGTTGAAGCCTTAATTTCCTAAAAATGTCCACAATTTTTCATATATAACCTTTTAAGAGTTCTCATTAACATGTGTCTTTAAATATGGAGCATTCAAAGACAAGGAATAAAAAATAACAAGGGTATAAATGGAAAAACAAACATAAAATTTACCCAATGACCTATATAATGGACCAAGAGGTGCTTCTAAAAAGCAACTTATATTGTGGTCTAAAAGGAGCAACCATCTAATTTCCATGCAACATATAATAATTTTTAAGACTGTTCCCCTTGGATACACAGTCACAGAGGGGCTCTCAGAATTGCAGCTTCAATCACGTTCTCTTTCCACTTGTTTTCTGCATTTTCATTTTGAACTTTATATTCTTTGGAGGATACCGAATCCTCTGCATTGTATCTTCCTTGGTCCGTAATTAATTCTTCTTTTATGTAAAACAAATTAAGATTAATTAATTCCAAGGTTAAATTCTCACAAAGCAGTCAATTTTCAATAAAACCTCATTCAATTAATCCTAAAGCAACAAAAAAATCCTCATCAAAAATATAAACTGGGCAAATAATACTTAATACCTACTTCTGAACCAGTAACAAACAGATTACAGATCTAGATAAGCATGGGAGTAATACCAACTTTGAACATCAATCCATAGTTTAGAAGTTATTTCTTTTACTTAGCAAGATCAATAAAAAAAGATACAACATTATTAGGTATAAGCTGTCCAGCTGATCGAGAGTACTTCATTTATTTAACCTGCGTGAAAGAGAAAAATAAAAGAATGTGCTCATGACTGCAATTATTTGAAAAGATAAAAGAAGCACATACCAATTTCATAAAGCATACAGCACGATTTGAATGGCATATTGAGCGAATTTCTACAGATGAAGGCATATCTGGAGCCATTTGTAAAGCAAATTCATACTTTGATAGTGCCTCCTCAAATTGACCATCCCCGAATAGCTCATTTCCTTCTAATTTTGCATCATTCGCTTGAGCCAATGCTTTCTGCTAGAGAAAGTAATAAAACTCAGTTAGCCATTTCCTCTTATTCAAAGAAAAACTTTTGTGATAAATAAATAAAGAGGGAGTTAATTAAGAGGTAACTAGTAGTTAGGATTAGTTAGTTAATTAAGGTCAAGGGTATTAGGCTATAACTAGACGGGTTGGGTTAGGTTGTAATTAGGCTTTTGGAACGATGAAGATTTGAGTGTTCAGTTTCCTTGCTCCCCCACCACGCCGGTTCATTTGTTCTATCTATCCCTCCCTCCTTCTGTTTCCTTCTCTTTCCCTTCTTCTATATCTCCGACCATTCTTATACAACAAAAAACATTTTTCTATCTGTCCAAACCATATTTTTGAATCATCACCAATATAATACCAGAAAATAAATGGTGGCTTACATAGTCAGCCATTAAATTCAAATGCACTGTGCCCATCAGCTTTGATTAATTAATTCGGTTGTTATTTTCGAAATTGGCATTTACAAAAGACCAAGCTTAAACAATACCGTTTCCATAGAACAAATTTAGCAGCTTTAGAATCCCAACACTTCACTCTTCATCATTTATTAGTTCATAACATGTAAGTTGCCGCTCGAACAACAAATTAGTAAAGGTCAAGGATGATGTTAATTGTTAAACACTTAAGGCAGTAATAGTTATGGACAAGCCCAAGAACTTCCATCATCACATGATTCCAGATTGGCACTAGCAGTATGATATTCAAATGCTTCCTAGATTTAATAGCCTTGGTAATTTTAGATTATGTCATTTATATGGGTATGTCCTGAAATACTAACTCTGCAATGTTTTCGCCCTCACGAATGGTTTAAAGGACATCACACAATTAACAACGTGACCACCACGGTAATCAGTGATGACCAAAAACAAATTTTTTTTCGGTCGAAGACGACCAAAAATTTAAACCACTCACGAAAAAGGAAATTTTCAAAAACGCAATTAAGGAAACACTCAGAACCGCCAAACACAACCTGTTTCAATTCCTCATCGTGTGATGCCTCTTCGGAAGAATCAGTTCCCGGAGGAATCCCCAGCTCCTGATGTTGATGTTGTTGTTCCCGTTCCTCCACTCGCCGCCGCCGAGTTCAGTGTCGCTGGCGGTTTCAAAGCCATCGGAAGCTTCTTTACTGTCATCGACATTGGAGGAGGCTGACGATTTTGCAGTTTCCGCAGATTCAGACAGATTCACAACTCTCTCTTCAGTCCCAACCTCTTCCTGTTGGATCAAGACCATTTCGCAGTCTAGGGATTTTTATTTCGATGATTGAAAATAAATAGAAAGCGATTTTCAGAGCAACAAAATTCGCACGTAACCCTCCTCACAAATTTATAGTCCAGACGATTACAATAATCAGCTTCTCCTTCCAGAACCGTCTGTATGTTCCCTTGCTAATAAGGCAAAGCCAACCTACAGAATATACGGTCTCCCCTCTTCCTTCTCAACCTGTTTTAATTTATTTTTTTTTTAACTATTAGATTAAAATTTTAAATAATTGAAATTTAATTTTCTTCAAAATATTTCATTTTATTTTATTTTTACTATATTTTTAAATTATTCTTATTAAGTTTTAATAGTTTGAATTTTATTATTTATATTTTTTATAATTTGATATTTTAATAATATTTTATAAGAGATTAAATTTAAACTATTTAAATATTGATTTAATAATTAAAAAGGAAAAAGAATGGAAGAGGATGAGAAGGAATTGGAAAGAATTCACACCAAATGTATACCCATCTCACCAAAATTAAAAAATAATTTTTTATTTAATAAAATATAAAGATGTGAAATTAGAATTTTTGTTTTTAATCTCAAATATTGTTTTTTTGGCCTAAATAATCTCAAATATGAGACACATGATGTCATATGGTCTTAATGTATATAAAATCATATACATTGCATTCCAATTTTTTAGCTTTTTTTTTTTATTTAACTACTCAATAAATAAATTGCTAGGGTGCGTTTCACTACATCTTCAACTGCAAGAAAAATACTGGTTGAAGTTGAACTCACTTGAAAATAAAAAAGTTACTGGTTGAATCTTAAGAATCCTATAATATTAAAATAAAATTAAGTATTCAAACTATATTTAAAAATAATAATCAATGGGATTGGAACTAGCGAAAAAAAATAAGTTCCTTAAAATGTAGTGAACCAAAATTTGAATATTTTTAAAAAAAATGTATACATTTAATATCTAACTGTATATCAAACAAGATTGTGTCTAATAAAAAAATACTATGCTCCATAAAAGAAAATAATAGTGTTAGCCCCTTGCAAAATGGTTAAAATTTAAGCTTTTTTATCTCAGATAGGAGGCACATGATTTCATGATCTAAGTAAATAAAATAATAAACATGGCATTTCAATCTTCTTCTCCTTCTTCTTCTTTTTGTGGTGACGAGCATTTTAAGATTTTCTTAAAACAAAAATTTTCCAATTGTGACAAATAAATTGCTTGGACATAGCCAATGTATCTTAAACTACAAACAAAAACTAGAGTGGTCGTGAATTATTAACATTTATGATTTTGAAAGCTAGAATTGTTTTAACATATAATTTCCTTTTTGTGAAACATAACATGAAATAAAGATAATATAACATTATGACCCTAGACTAAAATAAGGTTAATTAATTCTTTTTTAACTTATAAGGAATTTGAGATTTTTTTCCTTTAAATATGGGATTTAAGGATTGAACCACATTATGGGCCCATTTGTTTTAGCTTATTTCAAGAAAAAACTACTTACTTTTTGGAAAAAAAAAAACTACTCTGTGAGTTTTTAACATGGTATTGAAACCCGAATCGGACCGGCCAGGTCAACCCAGAAATCGATGACTCGGTCCCTTGTCCGATCTGGGTTTACTTCTAAACCAGTGACGAAATAAACCGTTGTAACCGGTCAAGCCGGGTTCAACCCGGTATAACCCGGTGGGTTGACTGGGTTAATCGGGTTATTTTTTTTGAGAATTTTTTTTTCATTTTTTATTTTTGAAAGTGCTGAATTCAGAAATAAGATAACAAAAAAATTAAAACTAAAGTCAAGAAATAAAAAATTAGAGGTAGAGCATGCTAAGTCCAATTCAGATTTTCAAACAGCATTTAGTTCGACCTTTCATCTGTGTCTCTCCTCTCTCGCCCTAACCTAATCAGCGTCTCTTCTATAACTTAGTCTCCATCTCTTCTTCAGGCTCTAGCTCTATCTCCATCTCTTCTCCAGCTCTATCTCTATCTTTGCTATCTTCATCTCTTCTCCAACTTAGTCTCTGACTCTTCGTCTTTTTTTCAGCTCAATCTCTGTCTCTTCTCCAACTCTATTTTCATCTCTTCTCTAGACTTTTGAGATTGAAGAATTGTAATTGTAATTATAGATATTTAAAATGTTGTATTTTATTACTGTTAGACTTTTGAGTGGTTGGATTTAATTGAATATTTTTATAATTAATGTCTTTTTTATTTAAATTATATTATTTTAATCATGACCGGTTTGCCACCGGTTCAACCTCGGGTTCAACCCTAATTAAACCACTAACCCGTGACCCAGTACCATAATCGATTCAATGATCGGTCCGGTTTTACGTACCTTGGTTTTTAAGATGTTTGTTTAAAATTTAAAAAATAATTAAAATAAGAAAAAGATTTCTGACCTTTTTAAGAAGGTATTTTTAATAACTTTATAATCTAATGTAATAAATGAGAAAGAGTGTTTTGAACAGGCACAATACGCAAAAATATCATAAAATTTAAAATAACATAATAATAAATCAATTTTATAAAAAAATCAATGAATATGTCATAAAATTTAAAAATAACTAACTATATTATAACCAAACATAAAATAATATCTATTTTTTATAAAATATTGACAAAATAAATCTCCTTTTATAAAATCTTTAAATTACTTAAAATTAATTATTTTTTAATCTTAAACAAATGGGCCCTATATATTACTATGAATAATACTCTCTTTAATCTTATTTATAAATCACTTTCATCATGTTTTATCGAAATTAAGAAAAAATTTAAATTCTATTAACTTTATTTTAAAATTTAACAAGTTTTCATCTTTATTTCTAATAATATTCTTAAATTTTATTATTAATATTTTTATTCAAAATATTTAATAATGACAAAAAATGTAAAGAATAACATTAAAAATTGACAAGTACTCTTTAAATAAAACTAATTTTTTTTTCTTTTTATCCTACAAATTGAACCGGGGGGTATGTTTACTATATGTTTCATTAGATCATTCATTGTTGATATTGACTTTGGATATATTGGCAATGATATTTGGTGGATTAATATATTGATTATAATGTATGGGTGTTTTATTGTATAGTGAATTTGGGCCTTGGGGAATATGGTGGGCTTTTTATGACCCATAAAATACAACCAAGATAAAGAAAGAGCAGCAATATGGGCCTCCAATTAATAATAACCTTGGCAATTATCTTGTCATGTTAAAAATCAAGTTAAAATTTTATTCAAAAAAATTTGGACTAGTCTAATAGAAGGTAAAATTTTATCATGAGAATGTTTCTAATTCCATCAGACCAATTCTGTCTGAAATTTTATCTCTAGTGCCAAAAAAATTCAGATTAATATTATCGGCACATATTTGCATTTAGATTAAATTATTCATTACTTTTTTGAACTTTGAATCCCGTATACATAATTTCATTAACTTTTAAAATTTTATAATGAATCTAATTAAACTATTATATTTATGTAGATAAATTTATATGATTAATTTCAATAAAAAATTTATATGATTAATTATATATAACTTAAAGTTTAAAAAATTATTCATATATTAATTAAAGTTTGGGGGCTTAAATGTACATAAAAATAAAGTTTAAGGGGCATGTAATAATAACTAAGGGTTATTTGCATAAACCTGAAAGTTCAAAGAGGTCTATCATTAAGTTTTAAAGATTAAGAGAATTGTTTGTATATAATTCAAAGTTTAGTGGAGTTGTACATAATTTAGCCTTTTATTTATATTGAAATCAATGTGAAAGCCCAATAATAATGTTTTGACAAGTAAAAGTGGGTAAACTTGAGCATAAAAAAAACAAGAAAAAAGTGGGTAAACTTGTTCTCCTCTTTGCTTTTTATCTTTCATTTTAAATTTTTTTTACAGGGACTAAAAAAATGAAATTAATATACTAAAATTTATTTTAATTTTTCTAAGGAGCCCTTATTTTTTTTTTGGGTGAAAATTGTACCCAGTCGTAGACAAGGGTATAATTGAAAAAATAACAATTAATGTTGTCTTGAACTTATAGAGTGACAAATAAATAGAAATACATTTTTTTTCTTGAAAAAGTGACAGATAAAAATGAACAGAGAATATCTTCCAAGCAAGACGTGTTGAACAAAGAGCAGCATCAATTTGTAATCAACATGAATATTGATGGTACTATATGAATACCATCCATTCTCAATGTTTATATCAGCATCAACATGTACATGTTAATTGTATGTTTTATTTTCATTAGTTTCACTTGTTCATAAAAAAAATCAGTAGCAACATAAAAGTATAAAATTTAAAGCAAACCATATTATTCACAAATTGTAAATAGTATTTTCATACTCAGTGTAATGCAATGAAAAACCAACATATTTATTGGTATTTGAATCGATTTTCTTATTATCTTTAGTATGATCTGTTTCTGATCGGATTCAATGAAATTACAAGATTAACAAAAGGATTTTTAATAAGATTATTTGTTCATTGACAATGAAAACTCCAATTTTGAAATTAAATAATTTGTGAATAGGTAATGAGACTTTGATTGAGCAAGTGACTTTTACAATGGTAAATAAGAAAGTTCAATGTTTGGTAATTAATGTTAGTGGAATAACTTCGTGGAACAATAAAAGAAAGAAAGATCTAATTGGCTATTTAAACCTGGTCAAATTAAGCACAAACTTTATATAGTGCCCTAAATCATAAGGATCACCTTGAAAGGAAAATGCTGACACACCCAAGTAATTTAGTGCCAATAGTCAAACCCTAATTCAAGAACGAATTTTTCTTCTAAACACTAATAACCTTGAATGATTTGAAAATAAGATGGAGGGATAATTTTATGCGTAGTAATATACATTTAATAATAAATTATGAAGAAAATATAACTATTAGTTCTTATACTTTTAATTTGTTTTAGTATTAATTCCTATACTTTTTTTTTCATTGCTCTTAGTTACGTTCCTTAAATTTCATCCATTTGCAATGTTAATTTTTATATTTTTAAATATAATCATAAAGAATTAATAGTGGCTAATGTGAATATAAACTATGCTACTTCTTGTGTAGATTTTGTTAAAATTATGATGAGTTGTATAAAAAATATATAAAATGCAAAAATAAATAAAAAAGACATTA